ATGTGATGACGATTTTCAAGAAGGGAAATAGATCGCTATCCACTAACTACCATCCAATCAGTTTAACATCAATTGTAGGCGAATTACTGCAAGCAATAATTTTAAACTGTATTCGAAATAACCCGGAGAAGCACAAGTTATGATGTGAATCATGGTTCATTGATCAAGTTCTAACATACTCATAAAATTCGTCCTTTATACCGATTGAACCCTCAGTATTCACTCATTCACTCTTCATATTTCAGTGAACCAAAAGAGACATAAGTAATCTCAAACTCATTCCTGAACCTCTAGTCAGCTACTTGTGTGAAGTGTGCAAGGTGGGCCAAGTTGGTTATTTGAGATGGGCCGAATTGGAGGCACACACTGTTTTACCGTGTGCTCCGATTGGCTCGTCAAATCAAAACAACAATGCAGAGAACCTATTAGAACCTCACCTCACCTAACTTCCTAACCTGTCATTGTCATTTCTATTTTCTTACTATCATCTAAATATCATCTCTAAAAAAATGGTAAATTTTTACAAGTTGCCAATAATGGTTTTGGACGAAACTTACATTTTTCTGATGGTTTTTTGATGTGTTTTGAATGCTTCTGACCTTCATTTCTGTTGCAGATGACTCGTTTTTTTTAGTTTGACAACTTTGGTGGACCTGTGGGAAATTGGGGCTTTTGGGTGGGGGGAGAGCAGAGTGTTATATGCTATGTAAATGACCAAAGTTGGCTCTGATTTTTCTGTTTTTAACAAATATAGAAAAGCCAAAATTTGGCAATCCGAGTCATGTTTTGGCTAAAGTTGGTTCGGATTTTCCGTTCTTAACAAGTAAAAAAATAAATAAATAAATATCTGTGCCAAGTTTTGGCAAAAGATTATTGTCAAATTTGAATGAATTGCATTAAAACCCATTGGAAAAACCTAAGTTTCATCTCAAGATCAGTTTTGGTGCTAACCTGACCTAACTGCCATTGTTAAAAAAAAAATATATATATACCTGTTTATATATATATACAGTATATATATATATATATATATATATATATATATATATATATATATATATATATATATATATATATATATATTTATTTATTTATTTATTTATTTATTTATTTATTTATATATATATATATATATATATATATATATATATATATATATATATATATATATATATATATATATATATATGCAAATAAATCACTGTAGGTGCGCGTGATCTAGGTATATGCTGATAACCACAAGGAAAAAGAAATCACAAAGTTCCCAAGCGCTTTCGTGTAATTCACATCTTCAGGGGTGAGTACAGACTAAAATAGAAGTGCAGAACAAGTTATATATATATATATACAGAGGAGGGTGAGAACAAGTCCACAGAGGTCTAGTGTAGGTAATGACCCTACTAATCTTTACAAAAGCACTGCAGTGGTCAGGGGTTGGTAGTCAGGTCAGAGGGAAAACTGACCCAACCTTCTCACCTTGTTACAAATCTTCTTAATTACAAAATTGTCCAATTTGTACATACTGTTACTCAAATTCATGTTAACGGATTCGGTATGTTTAATGATACTAGATTCTATAATGTTCCTACTGTCATTTGAATTATAAGGTGATATTGAGGAGGCATTATCCCAGTCAATGCAATGTTTATTATCCCTCAAATGAACGAACAGAGCATTGGATTCCTGGCCTGTCCTAACACTGTATTTGTGTTGTTTAAGTCTAGTTACAAGATCTTTACCTGTTTGGCCTAAGTAAAACCTATTACATTCCTTGCAAAGGACTTTGTAAATGCAGCCATTTGTATTATTGGGGGAGTTCTTGATTAACTTCTGTTTAACAGTGCATGAGTTTTTAAATGCCACATTGACTTTCCAGGTTTTTAGTTGTAAAGGAATTTGAGAGAAGTTTTTGTGAAATGGTAATACTCTGACCTGACTACAGACTGCTGTGGTGCTTTTGTAAACATTAGTAGGGTCATTACCTACACTAGACCTCTGTGGACTTGTTCTCACCCTCCTCTGCACTTCTATTTTAGTCTGTACTTGCCCCTGAAGATGTGAATTACACGAAAGCGCTTGGGAACTTCGTGTTTTCTTTTTCCTTGTGGTTATCAGCATATATATGGTTAGGCGCACCTACAGTGATTTACTTGCATAAATGGATTCCAGGGAACTTCGTGTTTTCTTCTTTCCTTGTGGTTATCAGCATATACCTAGATCAAGCGCACCTACAGTGATTTACTTGCATATATATATATATATATATATATATATATATATATATATATATATATATATATATATATATATATATATATATATATATATATATATATATATATATATATATATATATACACATACATACAGTGAACCCTCACTTTACGCGGCCAATTGAACCCACAGCGGCCCGCGTAAAGTGAACAACATAACATATGGGATTAATTGAAATAGAGACCGGGCCGACCCCCAAACTCCACTTTTTCAGACACAATACCTACGTTGTAGTAAAAATAACTTCTTAATTTTATGATGGTATGCACACACAATTAATAATTAAGAGAAATATCAATAATATTAAGTTTTTTAACACTTGCATTAGTAGAAAAGATGGCTGGGCACACGGGGATGGGGGGTTGGTTCCGAGGCAGAGGGCAGATTATTGGCCCTCACCTGTATCACTTGTATCGATTGTATCACTATCCACCACAGAGGCTTGCAGGGTCTCTGTCAAACCCCTCAAAGTCCATATAAGTCCATATCCTCACTATCACTGACTTGGGCCGGCTGTGGTGGGTGGCGGGTGAAGAACTCGGTAATGTTTTGATGGCTGGGCGACCTTGTGCGCACCCTGCTCGCGCCGCTCTCCGCGTAAAAGGGTACACACACCGCAGAAAGTGAGCATTCTGTGTTCGGCAGGGTACCGCGTAAACGTGGAGACGCGCAAAGTGGGACCTCGTAAAGCGAGGGTTGACTGTATATATATATACACAGTCAGTTCTGCTATAACGCGATAGTTGTGTTCTTGTAAAACATCGTGTTATAGAAATTCGCGTAATAGAAATAACAGGGCTTATGGAGAAAATAAGGTTAGGTGCAGATTACTACTCAAAATCGAAAAAAAATTAGTAGTTAGCCTAACACAGTCTAAATAAATGTTACATTCATATCTAATAATGAAATCATACAGTAAATGTAACACTTTACCTTGAAAAAATATGAATATAACTTGATGGGGGAGAAGGGTGATTTTGAGGTTGATAACATTGAGCTTCTCTTCAAGTGTTATAGCCTTTCTTTTACGATCATCACCGGGAATGCGATCACCAGAACGCTGCTTGGAGATATTCTTCTTTACCATATTCACAATTAATACCACAAAATTGGAGAAATAGTAAGCAAAAATCGCGTTACAGCAAATAAGCGTTCGCGTTTTACAAATATCATTCCTCTATTCATAAATCGCGTTAGAGCCAATTCGCGTTGTCAAAATACACGTTATAGCAGAACTCACTGTACACACACATGTATAATTGAGTATTTTAACCGATAAAATTACCAAGAAATACTTGTTCAAAATGGGCAGGGCTTTGAATTAGTTGGAAAATGTGGGGAAAGCAAACTTTTGAACACTTTACCAAACCTTTAAAAAAAACAATTCAACAATAAAAAACTTACCTTATTCACGTTTTTGGTGCTCAGATGGGGGATCCATATGCTTGAAAGTGATTCTTAAAATTTTTACAAGGTAGTTAAGGTTTTCAAAGGTTTATTTGGGTGTTCATTTGAATATTTATTCCACATTTTCTCTTTTATTTCAAAACCCTGCCCACTTTGAACAATTAATATTGAGGGTAATATTATTGGTTAAAATACTCAAAAATTAAATTTCCAACAGTTTGAAAGACAAAATAATTTTCCAGATTGTCACGTTTCAATTTGAAGGACATATTCCAAATATCCTACCATTTTACATAAAACATACTGTATATTTGAGAAAACCAGGTATAATCTTAGACATATTTTGTAGCAAGACACCAGATTCTCACCACGAGTCTTGACCTTGATCAGCACCACAATAGCTGACACCACAAGCAGTGTTATCAATTCAGAAACTGAGTTCTACCAGAGTTACCTACTTGTATATGTGAATTTTGTTAGATTCACCCCTAAAAGTAGCTTTAACTACACTGTAACATCAAAATTTAAATAATAGGCATATGAATGGTAATAACAACATACAGTATTAATAATGTTTGAGTAAATTATTCAATATATGGTACTGTAAGTTTTTCTTATATCTACAGTACTGTATTACATTATTATTATTATTATATTCATTATAAAATCAAGTTGAGTTAGTATTTATTTATTTGTGTATTTTTTTTGTTTTTCATCTGCAATCATGCAGTTTGTATGCCAATTTATCCATTTTTTTTTTTTACAATTGAAATTTTTAGGTACAGTGGGGTATGCTATAACGAATCTAATTGGTTCTAGAACCTGGTTCGTTATAGCATTCGTTCGTTATATGATTAATCCGTTCCAGGCCCCCAAATACAACCACTTAACACTGAAAAATATAATATAAAATTGTAAAAATTGTAAAAAAGTGCATAAATATGCATCTAAACCCCTGAAATAAAGAATATCATTAATACTTGTAATAAAAAATCAATAAATTAATAAAAAAAAATTAAAATGTTCATTGTAGGAGTTTCGTTCGTTATAGCATTCTCAATTTTATAGGTAAAACCGTTCGTTATAGGAATATTCGTAGTAGGTTCCGTTCGTTACAGCATACCCAACTGTACTGTATAGTGTACTGTACTGTATTCCTGTAGTTTTTAAGATTTATTCTAGATCCTGGGATTGGGATATTGATGACCAAAAATAAAGTAGTTTTAGTTATTTGGTCATAATGAGACAACGATGCTGATGTTCTTTAATGTCTGTACAGTAATTTACATTTCTGATTGTAATGCTGTGTTTTGTTTCAGGTTCCTCGTGATTACATTGGTGATCCCACCAAGAAGTTTTGTATTATTAAAAAGAGAGAAAGAGATCGACAGTCATGGAATACGACAGGGCATCAGATCTCCAATCCTGGCTCTTCGAGGATGAGCAGGATTTTTCCTTGGGGGCCAAGGCAACATCTTACCTGCCATCTGCAACATTAGATACCAACCATGACAATGCCAACTTTGGTGAGTTTTACCAAATAATGTAAATACAAAAATGTTTAACTACAATATAAATTGGTACCAGTATTTAAATTTTATAAGTGACCCAATGCAGGTGCTCCTCTACTTACGAACGAGTTACGTTCCTGAGGCTTGTTTGTAAGTCAAACTTTACTCTTGTAGATACCAAACATATTGTAAAAAAATTAAAGATTATGGATATTTAGTACATCTATACCCTTTTATACAGCCTTAAAATCTGGCTCTCTTATCCTCTTAGGTACTGTTTGTTCTATCTGGAATTTTCTTCAAAATAATTGTCTCATCCACATAAAACACCTGTTCTGACAGGTAACCCCCCTTAGTGATGATATTTGTATCTCTGAAAGTTTGTAAGTTGAACATTTTTAAGTTTGTTCATTTGAGGGATAATAAGCATTTCATTGACTGGGATAATGCCTCCTCAATATTACCTTGTAATTCAATTAACAGTAGGAACATTATAGAATCTAGTCTCATTAAACATACCGAAGCAGTCATCATGAATTTGAGTAATGGCATGTACAAACTGAACAATTTTGTAATTAAGCAGATTTGTAACCAGGTGAGAAGGTTGGGTCACCTTACCCTCTGACCTGACTGCAGTGCTTTTTAAAGATTAATAGGGTCATTACCTAATACCTGACCATTGTGGACCTGATCTCACCCTCCTCTGTATATATACACCTTGTTTTGTACTTCTTCGTCTGTACTCACCCCTGAAGATGTGAATTACACGAAAGCGCTTGGGAACTTCGTGTTTTCGTTTTCCATGTGGTTATCAGCATATATATATATATATATATATATATATATATATATATATATATATATATATATATATATATATATATATATATATATATATATATATATATATATATATCTATATCTATATATATATATACACACAGTGTAACCCCGCTTTACGCGGTCAATTGAACCCACGGAGGCCCGCGTAAAGCGGAAAACGCGTAAACTGAACAACAGAACATATGGGATTAATTGAAATAGAGACTGGGCCGACCCCCAAACTCCACTTTTCCCCGACTCAATACGTACGTTTTAGTAAAACTAACATCTTAACTTTATGATGGTATGCACACACACATAATATAGAAGAGAAATATCAATAAGAGAATAATATACTGTACCAGGTAAAAGAAAAATCAAGGTTTAATACTTACGTCATGGTAGGTTAGGTTAGAAAAAATGTAGGTTTAACACTTACATAAGGTTAGGTTATGTTTTAAAAAATCAAGGTTTAGCATTAACCTAAGGTTAGGTTATGTTAGGAAAAATCAAGGTTAGGTTTAACACTTGCGATAGTAAAAGAGATGGGTCGGCTTGCGGGAATGGAGGCTGGTTCCGAGGCAGAGGGCAGGCTACTGGCCCTCAGGTGAGTCACCATCACTGTAATCCACACTTGTCAGGGCCTCCCTGACAAATCCCTCAAAGTCACCATCACTGGCTTGGGCTGGCTGTGGTGGGTTGCGGGCGAAGAACTCGGTGATGCTTTGTTGACGGCTGGTGTTGATATTGTCTTGATACACCTTGATGTAGGGCTCCTTAGTCTGCAACAGCTGGGTAGTGAAGACTTTATACCGGTTATCGTCAGGGTCGTCGGAAAGGAGAAGCTTCAGTTTCTCTTCACACACTCGATGGCAAATATCAAGGGTGGGAAGGAGAGAGCTGCAGATGGCGTTTCATCACTCACTGACGCCTGCTGAACGGCAACACGGCATTTTTTCTTTTAGTTTTTATTTCTATTCCTCACATTTACTGGTACAGTCTATAGTATTTTATGTACAAAGAATCAGTTCTTCCACACGTACCTTCCACGCATCCAGTTCAAGATATTGTTCAGGTAATCACCCAGAATAGCCGACTCCCAGACATGTGGCGGTGACCTTGGTGGGTGTATATGCTGTGATGCATTTAAAGACCAGTAACCAACCACCTCATAACACATTTACTTCCCAAATTAGAGTATTGTAAAGATTTTTTCACAACTTTTAGTTTCGTTACAAGTAACAATACATTAGGCTGCTGGGTTAGTGAGACGGAAAAGTAGTTTATAGCCAAGGCCTTGGCTAGAACTACCTCCATACATGTTTACTTCTCACACATACCTGTACATCCCCATGCTCTTTGTGTTCTTGTTTTATATTATATTTTCTTTATTTCTATGCCATAGTAGAGTATTATGATTTTTTGACAACTTTTGTGATTTCATTAAAAGCAGCAATAAACTCAGTGGTGGTGGTGAGTTAGATGTAGTTATAGCCCACCACACACACACACACACACACATGCTCTTCACTTCTCATATTTTATAAGAGGGTTGTTTGATTTAAATCAAAATAATTTTTCTTTTTTCCCAAGCCATTGATTTAAATCACAATTTGATTTTTACATATTAAAAACTGCCTCCATAGCCTACTGTATTGTTAATCAGACAAATAAAATATTCAGAAGTCTATATAAAACACAAGGAACTTCCACTATTGCAATGTTCACTATTCAGTGTTCTCACAACAAAAATTACAATATTTGCTTCGTAACTGAAACAACAAACACAAATTTCAGATGAGTATAATCACATTTCTTATCTTAGCCTGCATGTTCTCTTGTATTGTACTTAAGCTTCAAACAAGTAGGAGCTGCAGGTAAATATTAACCCCAACGTCCAGGTTGACGTTCCGGAACGTCCATCTGGGGCACCTGGAACACATGCCATTGTTTGGATGCCCAACGCGGGTTATAAGGTTCCAGCATGACTATTTGGTGTCACGCCATGCGCAGGGTAGCATGGGTGGGCTCAGTGCAGTTAGTATGCACTAGCCTGTCGCCAGGGAGAATCGTACCTCAACCTCTCACGCTAAAAGTAGTGTACCTGTAGTTGTATTGTGTTTATTATTGTTAAACAATGCTATGATTGTTACAAATGAATTTATTTGTGGATTTATTATTCCAATAATTATTTCTATGCATTACTTGCTCTACCAAACACAAAGACAGACTGCATGTGTGTCGCCGAGCACTTTTTATGAAAAATAATGCAAACAAACTATTCTAAATGAATTATTTATAGGAAATAAGTAAAATGATCAGTAAATATATGTATTATTGGCCATCCCAGACACAAGGGCAAGCAGAAAATGGCCGCTAAGTGTGTGTAGTGACCATGTGCACAAGCTGTCAAAACAGTCCCCTTATCTCCCTCGCTACTGCGGCCCCAGAGAAGTCTTTCCTCGACATATGAAGGGGTTCCGTCCTGACGACCAGGTCATAAGTCGATTTGGTCGTGAGGCAAAAATAAGACATAGAAATTCTAAAATGGGTGTCTCTTTTTCTTCTCAGCACCACGAGAACACTCAGTTTTACGCTTGCCAGTCATTTTAAAGGGAATTAAAAAAAAAATTGTCAGTACACAGCGCGATCACTAACGTTGGGACTCGAAAATACGTAATGTGAAAAATATTTTATATGACCATGGCCGTCGTAAGTCGAGGAGAGACTGTATAGTTTTCTTACTTCCATTTTATTGTTTTACCATTAAAAAGGGTTGAAAATTATTTTCCGGCTTTGAGAGTCCTCCCATTACCCAGAGATCTCTCAGTCCCGAGTCCCGTAAGTGCTCTGCACTAATTGTTCTATCTTACGGAGATATTGCTGTACAGTACTGTATAATGAAACTATAAGAGCTGTTAAAGTATCATATCAGTGCTCTAAGTCTAATGAAACTAAGAAATAAAGAAAATATAATATAAAACTATAAAATGAAATGTGAAGAGCATGGGTGTGTATTCTGTGTGGGAAGTTATCGTAAGTGTGGAAGCAGTGGGCAGTTTGTCAATAGCGCAACTGACGACTTGGCTGGTTAGACCTACTGTATTTCCTTTGAAATGTGCACCACACAAGCACCTCTGCTGTTAGTTTACTTATCCTTTTGTCACTGATTGTCAAGTTGATTTCAGCAGAGAATGTTTAGGAAAACAATGGAAGCATAAAAATACTAAAATTATACAAGATAGTGCACACTGCATCATAGCTGGGATATGCTGCCTCTGTCGAGGCAGAGGCGCACAACCCAAACCCCTTCCCCTGCTCAGTACATGTGGCTTACTTGAACACATTATTTTTAGCTTTAACTATAAAAAAAATAAATATAAATGCCGGATTAATAACTACTGTACTGATTATGATAATGCGAGATGATTAACTTCCATATGGCAGGCACCCAACTCTTCAGTGCAATATTATCTATTAATGTCATGCCTGTAACATTTATTTTTAAATCAACAAATACCCGATATAAATGAAAATTTACAGATACAGTAAGTTTCATTACATATCTGCATCTGTTAACATTACTGGCAGCATTGTAGCTAAGTTAGACTCGTCACTGTAACCACCAGGCTACTGGGCCAAGCTATGAAGTGTTATGGTTGTTTTCCCACTCCTAATTTTAGGTAGATATACATAATTTTTTTCATTTATTTTTACTCATTTATATGCCCACATCATCCCACTTACATATTAAAAAAAAAGGTAGTCATAAGGGTAAACACGTAAAGGGAGCAGGAGGGGGGAGCGTTGCTATGGTGAAGCAGGGAGTGAATGCAATAGGCGATTATGTTAAACTTTCATTTTTCTTTTATTAGTAGTTTTAGCAATACAGTACAGTAATTTTTGTTTTAACTTATTTATCGGTATTTTTATTTATTCCTCACATTTACTGGTACTGTGTATTGTTTTAAGAAAACTATGGCTACAGGAAGAAAATGCACACGTTTTTGTCCAAATACTCCTGAAATGGGGGGTGCGTCTTCTATGCCGTTATCTACCCGTCATACGCATCTATATACAGCTCCTCCCTGACTTACGACCACCCGCACTTACAACCTGCCTCAGTCGTACCAAAATTTTGTCAAATTACGTATTTTCGAGTCCCAACGTCGGTGATTGTGCTGTGTACTGACAATTTTTTTTTTTGTAATTCAGTTTAAAATGGCTTGCAAGCTTAAAAGTGAGAGTTTTGTGGTGCTGAGAAGAAAAAGAGACACCCATTTTAGATTTTCTATGTATTTAAGCATTTTCGACTTACGACCTGGATTTGGGTCCCTAACCCCGTCGTAAGTTGGGGAGGAGCTGTATATATATTCCAAGCCATACGTGTAATGTAGAATGTGCGTAAGATGCGATAAGACTAGTAGATGAGCAGTATTTAAACTTGAAGATCTTATAATAAGGTACACCAGTACATTTTCTAGGACATTTCAACTCAAAAGTTTAGCTTGGAATTATATTTTACAAACAACAATTCTCAAATTGTAGTTTAAAAACATGAGTGATTCACCAATGTCAGCATTAAAATGACCTGGATGTGGAGCATATATAAGTAATATCTCCGTTAACCGGAATCCCTCAAACCCGGAACTCTCTGATAGCCGGAGTTGAAATTTTCTCGGAAAATCAACCATGGGAACTATTTTCCGGGAAAATTCCAATAAAATTTTCCTAATACTGTACCCGGAAAATTTCAGGGGTGGGTTTTTTTCAGTTTGAGAGTTGAAAATCGGGCATTTTCTATAAATTCTTAGAATAAATTTACGTTGCACGAAAAATTCAGGGGATGAGGGATATTTTTCTGGGTTTGAGAGATGATGTAATGGACAATTTCTGGGACTTCCAAGAACATTTTTCAGTTACCCGCAAAATTACAGGGGTGAGGGATATTTTTTCCGGCTTTGAGAGTCGTCTCGTTACCGGGAAATCTCTCGTTCACTGAAGTGCTCTGCACCAATTGTTCCGGCTAATGGAGATATCACTGTACTACCAATCATGGCGGAGAAGATGCATGCTTGTTTGCAAGGATACTTAATGTTGGAAGAAATGTTCTTGGTTTCCACCAATCTAAAGGATTTCCATCACGTGCTTGCAGTTGTCTGGTTTCTGTTCATTTCAGCTCTGACAGTTGAAATTATTACACAACATTTTTCATTCTTAGAAAACTTAATTCGATTCATTTTTATTCTATAGACTTAATGATCATTATCACCCTCTCATTTACTAGTTTTAAGCATTTATCAAAATCAGTCACTAGTGTTATCAATTTGCACAAGACTCTAGGTTCTGCACTTGTTTCACTGGAATGTGTATAGTACTGTTATGCTTACACTCTACCTCTTCTTGTATAGCTTACTTCCTGTTCTCAAGATAGCTGACCACTGTTCTCTGGAGATGAACTTCATGCATTTTAGACATTTCATCGCCTTCAGTTTGATACAGGGTATCCTTTTATCTTGGATCAAGATATGTTGAGTACAGACGAGTAATGGTATATGCAAATTGGATAATTTTGTCCCTTAAAAATATTTGGAACTAGGTAAAAAAGTTGGGTAACTCCTTAATGATTTGAATATGGTGGACACCTGCTGTCCTTAGGGATGACTTGATCTCACACTCCTTTACTGTACTGTATATATTAACTATTAGTCTGTACTCACCTCTTAAGATGTGATGAGATGAGAATTATTTTACTAGGATCAGGCACCATAAAAAATTGCCATGCTGTTCTTTCACTATTGTAAGAGCAGATTCAGGATAGGAACAATGTTAAGAAATGTTTTAGTTGCATAGACAGTATTACTTCTTTTGTATTTTCTGACATCTTCATTCACATGACCTAAACTGTACATGTATGTATTGTTGCAGATTTGAAGACAAGTTGAAAAGTGCTGGTTAAAAAATCTAAGGGATGTGTTGTGATTTATTGTATTTTACTTGCAGAGCTCCCAGATTGGATGGAGAGCCGAGAGAACTTGGGTCTTGCCAACGTTAAGCTATTTGATGATGTTGCATTCACCCAGAACTTGGAAAATGATGTCTCCCAAAGTCTTGATATGGTTGGGATTTTGGATGACGATTATTGCACATCCATCAAACCAGAAGACATGCTTGTACCTCTCTCAGAGTTACAACCACAAAAGAGTACTCCTCAAGGTCTCTCGGCAAACCCTTCAAGTTCTACATTACCACCACCCAAGATCATCATCTGCATGAAAAGGGTTGCTGTATGTTCACCTATTACAAACAATGATTCCTTCCAAGGACAGTCTCTAGATTTTTCCACTGCACAGTCATCTTCAGTTCCAAACATAGATATTACTCCAAATATGCAGTTGGCTCCTCCCCATGAAATTGGTAATTGTGATGCTGATGGCCTTATTAACGAAATGGTTCAAATGATTGGAAAGGAAGGAAAATTGGAAGAGTTTAACAACATAAGCTCATCTTTAGACACCTCAATGTATGAATCAGACATGGAAGATTTGCTACTACAGTTAGAATCTTCCAATTCAAAGTTAAAAATGCCAGAGGTTTCTTCATTGTGTTCAGAACCTGTATCACCAATATCAGTCCCCTCTCCAGTACCATCAGCTGGTAGTCTTTCACCATCACAGGCAACATGTTCTTTTTTCAGTTCCCATATGTCAACAGATTCTAATGACAAAATTAGCTCTGCTCATTCTCCAGCATATATTTCTGATTTTTCTGAAAAAGAGTATCAGTCAGAGGTACTTGCTCACTCACTCTCCCCACGAAAAAGAAAATCATCATCCCTGCGGAGTACACCATATCCAGAGAATAGACGAGAAAGAAAGAAAGAGCAGAACAAACAGGCAGCTCTTCGATACAGGCAAAAGAAAAAACAGGAGGAGGAGGAATTTATGTCAAAGATAGAGGCTGAAGAAGAGAGACAGAAGCAGTTAAAGGCTAAATATTCCAACTTGAAACAAGAGCTAACTTACCTTAAAAAAATTATGAGGGAGGTATTTATAGCCAAAGGAGTAATATCTGAGGAGGCTTTCAAGAAAAATAAAACAAAGGGCACTTAAAATATGTAGTACAAAATTAGTTTTGAATGTGGCAGTATGGTAACTTCAAAATCTTGTTCTTTCAATTACTTCAGCTTTTTATTTACAAAGGCAAGGTGTTGTTTTGGCCCCTTTTAGCACTTTTAGGATAAGGAATTTAGTGGACATTTTAAAGTTTCATGTGAAGGGTAAAAAAAAATCCAAGTGGATGAAGGCTTTTTTGCTGGATGTTGAACTTGGATAACTTGCTTTTCATAGGAGATTCATATGTCCACATGAGCTTGATAACATTTTAAAAGGGACAAAATTAATTATGGAGAATATGTGTAGTACAATCAATTGGTTATTGTTTGTCAGGTTTTTACATAGTATGGTTTTAAGATTCTTAATAATGTTTTTAAGTAGATTGAATTTTATTTTACTTTTGTAGTTCATATGTTAGTAAAAAAATCATATAGCTACAAAGATTTCATTATTCCTGCAATAAAAAAATTCCTATATAGGTAACTTGTACTGTACCCTCTTTTAATTACATTACTTATCAAATACATACATAGAACATTAAAACTAGAAAAGGGAAAAAAGCTGAATGTAGAAACTTAGGGCATTGAAATTTTATACATGGAAAACACCTTTAACCCTTAAAGGTCTAACTAATCTTAGAAAGTTACTCCAGAAACACAATAGTAGGCTAAAATGTTAGACATGCATGTTAGTCCATAGGAAAAAAAAACATAACTGTACTCACCACTTTTGGTTGTTGTCGAGTCATCTTGCCTCGGCACCCCTCAGGCAGTTATTGCACATCTGGAAGTAAACTATCAGGTACTTTGTTGATGCACTAACCAACCAATAATGTTTGTACAACTTCACATGGCTCATTATTACATTGTACAGCACATTCACCACTCGCTTTTGGGTTAAAAGTGTGTTCGTGAGTGGTACTCGGGGAAACGTGGAATGCACAGTGGCACTTAAATTTGGCACACATGTTGTAAGTTTCCTTATCTAAGGTCGTGTTGTAGCTGAATACAGCCTGCAGCAACACAGCTGTTTCACTGTTTCCTTGTACTTTTGGAGCTGGTATGGTTTTTCCATTTTATTTTTCAATGCACTAAACGTTGACCTAATTTTGGACACCGAGTCACTACAATCCAAGGTAGAGTTGTCAGCAAAGTTAAGGTATTTCTACAGGAGCTGGGACTTGTCGTGAGATATGTACTAGCAAAACAGGAATTAGGAGTAGAATGTCCTTGGACCAGTAGTTGATCACCGAGTTTCTTTGATCGAGGCATCAGCATTATAATGCAAGAAACAAACATTTCGGCTACAGCGTTGTATAGATGAACCACGTGAAGATGCTCCTATACAACCACAAAAAACAAAGTACAGTGGTCCCTCGGTTAACGAATTACCTTCCATAATCTTCAATTCGGTTAACAAACAAAAATTTGATTAACGTAATCCTTACGAACATCACGTTTTGTTGTGAGCATCAGCTGATCGACTAGTCTGGCAATTCAGTAATCTGTTCTGTTTACATTCGTTTCCAGTGGAGTAAATATCAAGAAAATTGTGCTCTAATATTTGTGCAATTTTTACATTAAAATTACAGTGGTCCCTCGGTTAACGAACACAATTCGTTCCAGAAGGTCGTTTGTTAACCGAAACCATTGTTTCAATGGGATTTTGAGTAATTGGTTCCAGCTCACCGAAAATTACATACAAACTAAAAATAAATGCAGTAAAGTACATCTACTTCGAGGTGTGCATGTAGAAGGCTCCTGGAAGATGATGGGATTTAGAATGGGGGTGGAGGAGAAGGGAGAAGAGAAGGCATTGGGGTGGAAGAGAAGTCACTCCATGGTGCCATTGCACCCATAAAATTTTAGTTCACTTGGTGTAATTCAAGATTATTTTCTTTAAATCAACACTGCACTGCATTACTGTATATATTGTCAATATGTAAAATAAATTTCAAAATGACTAATAATTTGACTGGAAACAGAAAAAAAGCGTTTATATTGAAGAGAGTCTCAAGCAAGATGTTACCTCCACTGAAAAGACAGAGACTGACGCCTGTATGGTGTGTTGACAGGCTGTTTGGCGCGCTAAAAGCTACTTTCCCTGTACTTAAATTGTTAAATAATTGTTAAAATGACTAAAAAATTTAATATAAGACCTTTAAAATTATTGAATAGTACAAACTTCTTGATATTTACTAAAATAGTAAGGAATTTAAACCCTAGAACCGATTACTGTATTGGCGTACTAATATGACAGCTAGTGTGCAAGCGAAAACGTTGAGTGGCGCTCGTAAGGAATTCGTTAATCGAGGGAATGCTCGTTAACTGAAGTTAAGAATCTTATGGAAGGTATTTCGTTAACCGAGGGATCACTGTACTGTAATTTGTATTTCTCTAGAAACAGGACCGCCATTTGCAATGGAGTCACTAGTTTCAAACACGGCTGGGCTGTAGTCGTAGGTAGTAGAAAGGATGGCCTCTTCAGACCCAAATTTCCACATTCAGGTAAGTTTTAAGGGTGTTTTTTATGGTCAAGTCGTGGACATTTTGTAAATGAAGAAAGGTGCTGCGAAGAGCAGCTTCAAACTTAGGTTGGATGTAAACGCGACTGCCCAGTATGGCCTGCTGCAGTTTACTCCATTCTTATGTTCTTTTGGACATAAAAAACTCCCATGTTCACACCAGCTCAGCTGTCATGTACTCTTACCTGGTAGACTTTTTTTTTTTTTTTGTCAGTGTATTTACAGAGTATAACCGTATTATATGGAGGTACGAGTAAATTTAGAAGTGATGACATTGTCTGGAGTTTGTTTTAATAATGCCTGATGCTAGCTAAACATGACAACATAATGCTGTTATTGTTTTGATGAACCACTGGGATATATCATTAATATTAATTGTTCGGTAAAAATTTTGCTAACTACCATAAGTGTTTTGATGTTTTAATTCGAGATAGGCTATATTGGGTAAAATTAAAGTTTTGGTCATCTCTGTTCTTAGACATGCAGACTGTTTAACTCCGATGGCTTGCGATGTGTTATGAATGTTTTTGACTCATTTCTATTGGAAATCACTCGTTTCGAGTTATTACACCTGTTTTAACTGTGGTATGATATTGAACTACTGTATCTCACTTGTTAACACTTGCTTGAATGAGTGTAGGTTAGTCGCTGGTACCTTTGATTCAGCTGAGTGAGATATCAGGTAATTTCACGGCATGTCCCCTTTGATACAGTCGTAGATTGGTTGACAGTTGAAATCGTCACAGCTGTCCTGGGTTGTACTTGTAATTATCTTAGCTTGTAAGTTAAACAAGACACACAGGTACTGTTTTCTTCACTCCTTGTTCCTTGGTTTAATGTAAACACACTTGGTGATTTTCTAGTTATATTGGGTAGTCATGTCTGTACAATTATTTGGTATTGACAGACTAATGAGTATTAGCTATTAGCTTGTAATTAGCTGATATAATTAGAGAGAGGTACAGCCTGGAGAGCTGGTCTCACGACACGACTTTAGGGCATCATGTCGGGCTGTGTCTGGTGGTTGGAGAATAACCCACCCTTCAACACAGACATTATCTAAACAGCCGACCAACACACTGACGGTTGAGTCTGTAGATTTATGGGCTGTACACTCAAGAAGGTGTGAAAGAACAAATGTTTATGGGCTGTCCACCCTTGGAGGTGTGACAGAAGAAATGCTTATGTAGCTGTATGCTCAATAGTCTGGGTGATAGAACATATATACAGTCAACCCTCACTTTATGCGGTCCCACATACCACGTTTACGCGGTGCCCTGCCGGAACCCAGGACGCTCACATTCCGCGGTTCGTGTACCCCTTTACGCGGAGAGTGTCCGGCTCGACACTATTTTTAGATTCGCCCCACCCGCCTGCTCCCGCCTCCTCTCTCCTCTGCCTGGCCAAGCCGCGCGGTAAGGTTGCGCAGTGCATGTCTCTGTTGCGTTATCACTGACGTCATATAACGTATCGGACTGTGATTGGCCATGCAACCCTACCTCCCTCCGCTGCTAGCTGTAATTGGTTCAAAGTAATATGACGTGTCCACCTGGGGGAGGGAGGAAAGACGACGCTTGACCTAGCCGCGGCAGTTTCATCCCTCCAGGCCACACCGTGTAATCGTGCATCCATTGTTCTGTAAAATGGCTTCCGCCAGACCACCGTCCCCATAGAGAAACCTTTCCTTGCCTGGACCCAGCCGCCCTAAGCCCAAGAAGACACGACATTCCTTAAGCTACGAGGTGAAGTACAAGATCATCCAAGAGTTAGAGAAAGGAACAAGACAGGTTGATTTGGCGCGCCAACATGGTGTGAACGAATCTACGATCCGGACGATAAAGAAGGATGCAGCCAAGATAAAGGAGCACATGAAGATCACAAAGTCTACAGGTGCTTCTATGATCAGGTATTTTCACAACCAGGTGCTTCTCAAGACGGAAAAATTACTTGTGAGCTACTTGGTGCGTCAGGCGCGACGGAACATGGCAGTGGACACGCGCTCTGTTAAGGAGTACGCACGTGAACTGTATGCTGCAGTGTCACGAAAGATGGGAATTACAGAGCCCAAACCCTTTAATGCTTCCTCTGGGTGGTTACAGAGGTTTAAGATGCGGAACAAGATCACCAATATAAACATTGGTGGTGAAGAAGCTAGTGCTGACCGTGCTGCGGCTAGGGAATTTCCTCCGTTTTTACGTGAGATTATGGAGGAAGGACAGTACACCGACGACCAGGTGTTTAACATGGACGAATCTGGTCTTTTTTGGAAAAAGCTACCTTCCAAGACCTTCGTTGTGAAGAATGCCAGCAAGATTTGGGGCTGGAAGATGCAGAAGGAGCGCATCACCGTCCTGTTTAGCACCAATGCCTCCGGTACCTGTAAGCTCAAGTTATTGGTGATCCACACAGCCCGCAAGCCGCACGCCTACAAGAGCATGGACATGACCAAGCTAAATGTCCACTGGCTGACCGCACGTAAGGCGTGGATGTTCTCTACACTGTCCCTCTCCTGGTTTGATGACTGTTTTGTTCCCGATGTAAAGAAATTCTGTGAGCAACAGAATGTGCCATTCAAGATTTTGTTGCTGCTGGACAACGCACCAGGACACTCGCCCCTACTGTTAGATCGTCACCCCAACGTAAAAGTGGTCTTCCTTCCTCCCAACACTACGTCTATATTACAGCCCATGGACCAAGAGTTAATCTGTAATGTAAAAGCTGCATTCTCAACAAAAAAATTCAAGCTCCTGGACAACTATACCAACACCAGGGAAGAGTTGCGTAACCTGAGTGACACCACCACCGATAGCAAGAGCGAAGAAGATGAGGATCAACAGTTGGCAGAGCAAAAAATACTTTTCAAACAATTCTGGAGAATATTTAACATCAAGAAAGCTGTGGACTTCTTGGT